TTTTGCTTCCCTAGAGAACCCAACCCAACATAACTGCTAATCATGCTAAGTACAAGGTCAACAGTTCAAAGCCACCAGCTGCTCTAGGAAACCTTCACAGGGTTGCTGTGAGTCGGAACCGACTTTGTGGCACTAAACAACAACATTGTTCCTAAATAGAGTTCCTGCTAGTCAGTATGTGCCATAATTTAAAGCTGTGTACACAGAAGAACATTCTGTTTCAATTTAACGGTAGTGGGCGTGAGAAAGCAAAATAAGACTCCAAAATATTCCCACGTGTTTCTTCATATCCTCCCTCCTAATCTCTGCTTCCCACCTCCTCAAAAATAGTTTCCTTCCCAGCCACAGCCCTGGTTTGAGTGAGATATGGAGATGATTTGTAAAACACAAAATCGTAGCAATCTAGACAGATTATATCAAGGATGAGCGGACAAAAGAACAACTATTCATACTGTAGCTGAAAGCAACAGAAAATGCACCAGAAAGAAACTCGCCCAAATCAAACAAATTTGGCAGAGATTATAACATGCTGTACAGCTTTTCAACTAAAGTATCATATACCAAGCAAATAAAACTCATTTCTAAATTTTATGTTTTACTATGCGTGTTCTTATTGTAGAACAAATTGATGCTTTAAGAGCATTTTAGTGGGTCCCTGAGGTCAGAACTAAGTTCATAATATGGCTAAAATGGTATTAGTGTGAGATGCTTTCATTGTTGCTGTCTTCAAATGAATCCATAAGTAATCAAAACTTGAAATTGTCGAGTTTTAATTTAATTTATTTCCTTTATAGTAAATAGCCATTGTTGTTAACTGCCATTGAGTAGGTCCCTGATTCATGGTGCCTCCCATGCACAAAGGAACAAAACAATGACTGCCCTATGCCATCCCCAGGATTGTTTGCCGATCCTATCATTGTGAACCATCAGATTTCCATTGACTGATTTTCTGAAGTAGATGGCCAAGTCTTTCTTTCTAGTCTGTCTTAGTCTGGAAACTCTGCTGAAACTTGTTCAGCATCCTAGGGATGCGCACGCCTCCACTGACAGGTAGGTGGAGGCTCTGTATGAGGTACACTGGCTAGGAATCAATCCGAGTCTCCTGCATGTTGTTGTTGTTGTAGTTGGGTGCCATAGAGTCAAAATTCAACTCATAGGAACCCCATGTGACAAAGTAGAACTGGCCCAGAATGGAACTTTGATTCCACAACATTTAAAGCAACAACCATCTTCATGGAAGCAGATCACCAAGCTTTCCTCCGTGGAGCTGCTGAGTAGGTTCAAAGTCTCAGCCTTTCAATTAGTAATCAAGTGCTTAGCCTGGGTCTCCAACATGGACGACCAGCGTTCTATTACTCAATCACCACTGCCCCTTCTTAATAGCTATGACTCACAAAACACTCCATGGCATTTTCAACAATCTTGAAGAGTGAGTCGGGGTTTAGAGACCTAAAGGTAACAATCCCTTAGCACAAAATTAATCTTTTCCTTGACAAATAAAAAACCAGCTACAGTTGTATTTCTTAGACACTGTATAGGGTTCTCAAGGAGTGGCTGATGAGTTTGAAGTGCCAACCTGGTGGTTCAAATCAATTTTGTGGTCCAGTACTTTGTCCCTCAGTGCCACACCAGGACTCTGATTGCTCCTAAATAGTCTCACTTTGTTGTTGTTGTTATTAAGTGCCGTCGAGTCGGTTCCGACCCATAGTGACCCTGTACAGGGTTTCCGAGGGTGTAAATCTTTACGGGAGTAGAAAGCCTCATCTTTCTTCCGCGGAATGGTTGGTAGTTTAGAACTGCTGACCTTAAGGTTCGCAGCCCGATTCATAACCACTACGCTACTCACTGGCATATATTAATTATAAATTTTAACCAAAATAACTTCTGTTTCACAGAAAAGGTTAGAACATGGGTAGCCTTGAACATTATACACCAACATGATGCATTCTTGAAGTCTAGCTCATGATGAAAACATATGTATTTGTACACTCATGCTTTATACAACTTCTCAAGGCAGTAAAACATCAAAAACTTTATTAATAACCTACAGGCAAAGACTTAAAATATTTACTG